CACAATATCACAGAGACATCCAAAGCAACTCCAGCAGATATATTTTTAAAAAGGAAGACAAGAACTGAATTGGATAAAGAAAGTGTAACACCGAAAGAATTCATAAATGTTAAAAAATTTCCAATAAGAAGTCTGGTTTGGATATTGTTGTTTGATGGACCAATTAAATGGGGGAAGGATGTAGTAAAGGAAAATATAGGAAAAATTAAAGTCTAGGTAGAAATTGAAGGACAAACAGGTACATGGCGAGACATGTGAAACGGATAAGACAGAGAATTAAAAAACGAAATGGGGATAATTGAGAAGAAATAGTTTTTATTGAAAAACGAAATCGGGATTATTGAAGGCGAAATGGTTTTTATTAAAAAACGAAGACTACGCATATAGGTCAGTGAGGAATAAAATGAGAAAAAATTATATACAAATATCAATTATATTTTTAGAAGGCATATGCAAGAGTGGGCAGCACTTATATCGTACGGATTGAGATCAGAGACATTGATGGTCGATACTGTTATATTTCATATATTTTAAAAGGTTATATAATATTCAACGTTATTTGAATAATATATTTGTTTTTCTTATACAATAATATAGTGTATTTATATTTAATATTTTATAAAAGGTCAGTTAAATTGAATAATTATAGAATAGTATATATATATTTATATATATATATATATATATATATATATATATATATATCAAGAATTGAGAATAAAAAGGTACCATTGACCCTATATTATAAAGTTTATTCAAGTTATAAAATTGACGACGAGATAAAAAAAAAGAAAAGAATATTAAATAGAATTGTATAGAAATTTAAAAATAAAAATATGGGTGATACAAAAATTACATTAAACGAATTTCGTAAAGAGAACTTCTTTGGATGATTATTTGGATTATATTAAATATATTTTAAATGTAAAGAATATTCCTCAAACAGTCGCACTTTGACATAGCATATGGAGGAATAAATATAATAAGATATTAAAATTTACTATTTCCAAGGAAAATTGATGATTTGGTATGGGCAGATTTATATGAAATTGTAAAACTTTTTAAAGACGAAAGACTGTCTTGGCATCAAGAATTGATTTTATAAGATTGAGTTGGGTACCAACAGAATCAGTAATGAGTTATTAAAAAATATAAAGGAACTAGCCCGTAGAGAAGAATTTGAAGATAATATAGTAGAACTTCGAATTCATAATCAATTAATTGCTGGATTGAAGATGTCGTAACTAGATAAAGAACTACGATTAAAACGCTCAGATACTAGAGGTGAAGAGCAACAGGTTATAGAAACGGCTATAGCAATGAAACGGGCTGACTTAAAAATAAATAATACTAAAATGGTTTATAAAATCAAAACTAGTAAACAAAATGATAATAATAAACGATTAAATAGAAATTATAATAATAATCTGCAGTATAATGATAATAATAATCGTCATTATAATGATAATGATAATCGGCAATATCAAAATGATAATAAAACATAAGTTAAAAGAAAACCAGTTCAAGGTTATAATAACTACCTTACGAATAATAATACAAGAAATTTTTTCATGCTATTCGGAATTGTCCATGAACCATTGGCTTGTGAAAATGGAGGAAAAGTTTACGGTGCAAATTACAATAGTCTTAATAAAAAAAAGTCTACAAATATGGATAACACCCAAAAATTATCGTATTAATTAAACAACCACGATTAAAATGGAGTATGACACAGGTTCAGCAGTAATCATCATTAATGCAACAATATGGAATAAAATTGGGAGCTCAAAACTTATAATGGCTAGAGCTCTAACTACATATGGAAATAATAGTATAAAAATTATGGGCGAAGCTTATGTAAAAGTGCAATTAGATGATAAAATAAAATGGCTTCCGTTATTTGTTACAAAATCTAATGATGCAACACTATTTGGATTTCCATGGACTATAGAATTTGATCTATCGTTACCAACAAATGTAAAAATCAATATGATCAACAATAAATATAATAATAATGATAAGTGAATATTGACAAACTATATATAGAATTCGCTACGGTGTTTGATAATAAATAGGATTAATAAAAAATGTCAAACCAGTAAAACTACAATTGGAAGAAAATACAAAACCAATTGCACTACCAGCTAGAAGAGTATAGTTGCCTTTAAAAGTAGAAATTGAAAATGAATTGAAACGTTTGGAAGAAAATAACATAAAGAAAATAGATCCTTCAACAACAAGAGTAACCTAGAGTACTCCAATGGTAATGGTACGTAAAACTTCAGGTGAACTACATTATGTGGAAAGTAACATTGAATAATTTTTTACTAAAAGACTATCACATTCTTCCAACGTTTGAAGAATTAATCGCAAAGATTGCTAGAAAATAAGAATACAACATTAGATAAGTCGCGCATCTACAAATGAGTATTGACGAAGAATCGCAAGAATTATTAATTATGGTAACATCAAATGGATACTATCACTATTTACGATTACCTTTTGGTATAGCTACAGCACCAATAATATTTAAACAATATATGGACGATTTACTGGCTGACTGTAAAGACGATATTATGTACAAGGCACTAATAATATAATTGCAGATGATTTATGGCGAAATCCAATAGATAAAAATTATGATAGAATAACAAACAAAAATATAACAATGATTTATATAAAAAATCTTACTTATAACACATTAACTCTATCTAGAATTAACTTAGAGAAGAAACCGCAAAAGATCCAATCTTAAGAAGAGTAAAAATATTAATAAATGGTACAAAATATACAAAATCAAGCACCAAAATTACTATCTTTTAGAACAAGAATAGATGAAATAGAAAATGACGACGGTATTTGATTTAGGAATGGTAGATTGATCATTCCGTACTCACTTCAAAAAAGAGTTTTACTTATATGCATACTGGACATCCGGGGATTACATCAATGAAATCCATTACGAGACATTATATATGGTGGGAACAATTAGATAAAGATGTTGAAAATTAGTTAACAGCTGAAACAACGCAGATATACCAGGTTTCACCGTAAACCCGTGGAATCCGCCATCGCAACCCTAGAAAGGGTACATTTAGATTTTGCCGGACCACTGGACGGATTTTATTGGCTGGTAATCGATGCATACTCAAAATGGATAAAGATCGATAGAATCAAAGATTCAACAAGTAAGAATTTAATAAATAGATAGAAAAATTGGTTACTCGATATGGTATTCCACGTTAAATTGTAATCGACAATGGGCCATAATTTATTTCAAATAAATTTGATAGTGTAAAAACAAGAATATACAATATATAAAAACTACACCGTATTATCTGAGAAGTTGAGAAGTAATGATTTAGTAGTAAGATGTATTCAGACTATCAAAAATCGATATATATAGAATAAACAAATAATGAGGGGAATTGCTTAAATGAAGTGCTATTTACGTATATAAATTCAGAACACTCATCAACGGGACAAATAACAGCAAAACTATTTATGGGAAGGATACTAAATATATTATTGGACTGGGTTAAACCTTCTATTATTGGAAAATTAGAAACCTCTTTAGTGAAACCTAACCACTTAGACAAAATACGATATTTTGAAGAAAACAATTTATTTGGATAAAAACCCCAAATGAAAAAGGATGGCATGAAGGAAAGATAATAAATCAAGAAATTAAATTCTCTTATAATGTAGAAGAAATAAAAAATAGTACAACACGCAGACCAACTAAGAACAAGGGAAGAACTAGTTGAACTCGAATCAATAATAATAGATGACAATATAAAGTTAGGAGAAGATAAAATAGTAGAAACAATTAAACCAAGTCAAGAAAGAATTCAAAACCGATCAACGAGAGAAAAGCACACAAAATGAATAATAGACCAACTTGAACTTGGTGGGAAATATGATATGTTATATTTCATATATTTTAAAGTTATAATATTCAACGTTATTTGAATAATATATTTGTTATACAATAATATAGCATATTTATATTTAATATTATACAAGTTCAGTTAAATTGAATAATTATAGAATAATAATATTGTATATATATATATATAGTATATACAAGAATTGAGAATAAAAAGTTACCATTGCCCATTTATTATGAGGTTTCTTCAAGTTATAAAAGATAGTATCCAGAAATTAGCTAAATTTAGCCCGGGACAAAGCATATGGTTAATGAATGATAAACGATATGAAAAGCAGTCCAATAGAACCTACAAGAATGAATAGTAATGCCAGATGGGTATAATATTTCTAACCATGACCAAGACAATGATGGGCCTGTGAAGGAGATCACCTAATACGATTCTGTCCCTATCATATAATGGCACGAATGACGAAACTTTAATGACAGTTCAAAACAATGTGCCTAAGTTGATGAATCAACCAGGGACGAATACAGCTTACTATGATTAGGGATTTAAGAGTAGGGGTGTTGCATACAAGGATGCAAATTGTGGGTTATTAATTTGGTTAAATAATTTCGATGGCTGCAAATTGTTTGCATTTATTTTATTTTATTAATTTATAGGTATGAAAATTATTTTATTCAAATAATTTTATTTGAGGTGGATGATTTTTTTATGACTTTAATTAAATAAGATAATGCCAACAACATATAAGTTACAAGAGGAAAATAATCATAGTTTTGTTATTATATTAAAATTTAAGTTTGTTCAGTAAAAATATAGTTAAATAGACTATGTTAGCTATAATAGATATGTATATGATTATTATGTTTATTATTATTATTTATAGCTATATTTTATTCAAATTAGAAAATCGAAATTAATGTATAAATACGCGAAAATTATATGCGAAACAATTTTGAATTTCTTTTTTTTTTCTTGTTTAATAATTCTCTTATATTTGGAAAATTATTAATAAAATCGATTATAACTCAATTCACTTATTTTGATTGAACAACAATTGACTTAATACAATAAGAATCTTTTATTTTTTTAATTTTTAAAAAGGTTCCTATATGTCCAGTTGTGATTTCTTCATATCGGCCATTTTATAGCAAAGAAGCAAAACGATTTGAAAAGGGTAAATACTAATTAATAGCCAATATATAAATCCTTCAAATATATTGTAAAAACGTATTTTATACCAAAATTAAATAATATTTTGAAAATTTGTTTTTTTCTATTTCGATCTGTAAAAATAGAGTTAAACTATTTAGTAACTATTTTTTATAGGCTTTTTAAGTTAATTTTGGTTCTTATAATTAATGCGACTTTTTTACTCTGTATTCATGGTCACAAGAGAATTACTAATTAACTTTAAATAGGATACTAATTAATTTAATTAAATTGCTATTATGTTTTATAAGGAAAAATAACTATGATATGTCTACCACCTATCATGACAACCAGCAAAACTCAAGAGGGTGTAAATGATCTTATTCATGACATAAAGTCTGCAATGGAAAATACATTTCGAATTAATAGTCATGATCTTAATTTAAAAAAGAATTTGTAAATAGATGTGGTTTTTTAATAAGAAATATATGTTTAATCCATGTTAAAAAATCGTTAAATATACAGGAAAAGAGTTGTAATTTAATCTAGCCTTGGTAAATTTTGTAAAATTTGGTAAAATGAAAACCCGTCAATATTTACACCTATTAAAGGTATCGGATTGATTTTATTGAAAAAATGCAGGGGCATATTTTGTTTAAAAAAATTTTATACAATTAATATTTGTATTGCTTTTGTCATTTTCCATGCTCTACGATATACACGTGCTTTTTACATTTGTGGGATTTATTTTGCATTCACATATTTTATATGAGGAAGACTAAGGCTATACGATAGGAGGGGTAAAAAAATAAGCGTTTATAACTTTTCATTAGTAGGACTAATTGTTAAATTTGGACAAAAGATTTCTACAATATTTACTACCACATCTCATTTAGTAGTAATAGCTCCGCATTCACAAGGTATGGACCAAAACAATATTTTAGCCCTATTCGATATTTTGTTTGAGGCAAAACTACCCTTTTGAATTATATGAAATTTAGATAATATGTTTTTCATATAAGCTATCATATAAATTGGTCCTGAATTTAGAGGTCTATAGCTTTTTTAGAATAATTGCTAGCGTCTTTTAAACTATTGTAAAATAGAGAATCTATAAATATTTTAAGTAGGATTTCTATCTCTGAAATCAACCCACCAAACCTTATTATTTTTACCGAATTTGTAATGATTGTTCTTGAAATGAAACCATTTTGGATAACCTTGTTCCTAGCGATATCCAAACCTCTGATAAAAATCTAGGAGCAACTAGTAAGTTTATTGCCATAAGTTTATTGCCAGCTAACTATCTACTCATAATAGCAGGCACTGATACTCTATGTGGGGAAGGGGGGGGGGGGGGGGGGGGGGGGGGGTAGATAAAAAATATTCTTTCTTTAAGGGGAAGGGTGAAGGGAGGGGGTTAAAGATTATTCTATTTGGGAGAAGAAAGGGAGTGGTAAAATTCTATGGGATGTAATATTGTCACTCAATAAAAAGTGAGAGGATTTGATATAAAGCCAGCATCTACATGAGCGGGAGGGGTAGGAACAGTTTATTTTTTTGAGGGGGTAGGGGGTAGGATGCTTTAATGGGGGTAGGATAAATGTTTTGGGGGGTTATCTATTAAATTTTGAGATGAAATAGGACACAATTTATTGCTGTAAAAATTAATACTTTTATTATAAAATTATTATAATACAATTATTGACCAAATCTATATATTGCAAACAATCATACACATTGTTTCCCAAATCAGCAAGCTCATAATGCCATAATAATTAATTCACTGTGAATAATAGAGGTTATAATTGAATTTATTATCTAAAAAATAAATTCTTTATATTCATAATCGATAGTTGGTAGTAGAGATAGATTAATTTAAGTTATCCTTATAAATTCTATGAAAAGAGTATCAATGTAATTATAAATAAAATAATAATAAAGAGACACTGACGCCAAGGCGGCAAAATTTTTTAGGGGGTTAGGCATAGGTTTTTAAGGGGGTTTGCATTCAGTGAAAATCCTGTCATGTAGATGCTGTATAAAGCAATTAGTCTCTTGAATGGGCATATTCTATTTGTGTCAGGAATTATTTATTTTATGTGTGCATTTTTATTGTGAAGATTAATTTTGAAAAAAATAAAAATAAATGTTTTGCTGGTTAATTTCATATTTGCCCTCCTACCCCAGGGTTTGACATCCTACCCAGAGTCATTAGTAAAATAGTAAAAATAACATCTTTACTTATTATAAATAGCGCTCATAGTATAAAATATAGAAAGCCTCTTTTATATTTTGTAGTTTAATGATGAGACTATCCAATGATATAATTAGAATAAAAATAAATTTTGTCACAATACATCTGCCACATAACCACGGTCTAGTTTTGTTAAACGGCTCTATTGCGCCAATTTTAAATTAAGATTTTAGCCAAAATAATATTGAGCAAACCTCGAGACTTTGTTAACAGATGTCCAAACCTTTCTACCAACTATAAGCAAAGCCTTCAGACTTGCATAATATTTTTTGCTAAAATATTGGGTTAGCCGTTTTTAAAAATTAAGCCATTTAACAGCACTATCCCGGTCTTCCCTAATTCGTATATTGTTATTTTGCTTGCTTTTTACATCTTTCTGCGTTCTTTTTTATTGCTATTTTACATGCCCTTTTGCATAATAAGTACGTCATGAAATGCTATGAATGGCGTTGAAATTTTTTAGTCGCCTACAGATAATTCTCCCCCATGTTGGCGAGCTTTTAACACTTATCTTGTAAATTATATATCATTTTATTTTTTCTACTATTTTATTTTTAGCAATATTATCATGTTAATTTAGGCGTGTAAGCAGCGGGGTGGGGGGCAGGTGGACAAACCCCCCCCCCTCCCAAAGCCAAAAAATGCAGATGCCAAATATATTTTTCAATATTATTGTTTATATTAAGTTATATTTTATAATATTTATTCCTTCTTTCTTTTTAAATATATTTAATTAATCACATTCATTTACTAAGTTATTTTATCAATTAATTTCGATTTCAAGTTTTCCTTGGCGTAATATTTATCTATTGTTTTCAAATTTCTAGTGGGGTAATATTTATCTATCATTTTCAAATTTCTAGTCATATAATAATTATGGACATAAGAAATTTTTTTAAACATATTGATGATGATGAAAATCTTAGTCATCTTACAAAAAAGCAAAAAAGTACAAATAATTTTATAACATTTTATAATTAGCCTAGAAAAAAGACATATGCTTCTTAAAAAGGTATTAAAGATACCTATGATAAATATTTTATTTAATTAGATTTATATTTCACCCCTTTTTTAATATCCACAAACTTTATGTGCTAATCGAACTAGATGGTTATGGCTAGCATACTCTATTTGAGACACTGGAGTTGTTGCAAGATATTTATCCTATTAGGTCTAAGATATGATGGAAGAAGTTTAGTTAAGCTTAACTGACTTGTTTAGACTCCATTCAACATGTACAAAGATGCTGGAGAAATCTTTGACAATCATCAAAAAACAAATTATCACAAAAGCTGTGAACTGATGATATCTTTAAATTAATTCAAAGTGGGGATATGATTCCCAATTCATTGGATATTGACAAAAATAGAATTAAAATAGCTAAAATAGATATAAGATTAAACTAACTGTTGAGGTCATTCTATATTGTGGATTGCAGGGCCTAGCATTACGTGGCCATTTGGATTCAGGAAGCCTGAATAATAATGATAATGAAGAAAATTTTTGTGGTCTTGTAAAGTTTAAAGCATTAGGGGATTCTGCATTGATGGAATATCCCAAGCAACAAAATATTTTAAACAGAATTATTTCTGAAACTCCTTGTCCAACAAGGCGAAATAAATTGCAAAAAGCTTGTCCAACGAAATGGAGTCTTCGTCATCAAGCGGTAACAGTTTTTATGGAGATAGAAGAGCCTATTATTAATGCTCTTACTGAAATATCACAATGGCCTGAAATTTATTTCCTCAGAAGCAAGCAAATTAATGGATTCATTAATTTTACCAATTATTTGAATGTATTAATAAATTATTTAATTATACAACTCTATTATATGATACTTTTGACATTTTGATTGAGACGATGAGAATAGCGGAGAACATTTTGTTAGAACTCAAATAAATTAGGGATAATATTGTTGGAGGATTTCATATTTTATATGTTATTGTTGAGTCAAAAGTAGAGCTATACGTGTTTAATATTTGTCTCCCTCGACTTGCAACAAGGCAAGCTCCCCTAACATTAATATAGGTTCAGTAGAATAGTATTATAAAATAAATGTATTTTACCTTTCTTAGATACATTTATAACCTAAATAAATGAACGGTTTTTAATTCATCAGGCAGCACTTGCCAATCTGTAGATATTACTTCCACAAAAGTCTTCCCAACCATTTTCAGACGTGATAGAAAAAAAATAAAATATTTAGTAGATTTTTATCATTAAGATGTTAAAGTATCTTATGATGCCTTATTAGCTGATTGCCAACTATGGTATAAAAAAATTAACTATGGTTGATATAGTCCTAAAAATGCTATGGATGGATTTTTTTCCCAAAGTATTAAAATTATTATATATATTAGCAACTCTTTTCATTAGTACTGCAAAAAACATACCTAAAAAGTACAATTTCTGGACGTAGATTAATTGGTTTGATCCTTTGAATATTCATAGGCATTTGACGCCAAGCACGGATGAGAAAATCGAAAAATTAGCTCAATCCCAACGAAGATTGGATTTTACATTATAGATTTATAATATGCTTCTTAATAATATTTTTTGTGCGATTTATTTTTTAATTATATTTTTTCATGAATACTTTTTAAGTTATTACATACAAAATACACTTATTCCTAAGAAACTTGTGTATTGTTTTATATTTCTAACTAATATTTATATATAAATTTTAAAGGCTCAAAAAATTAATTTCTATTTTGGGTCATTTTATAGTGATTCATATGCTGGTTATATCCGCTTAATATTTTATAATTCAATTATTTTATAGTTTTTTATAATATTTTTTAACACATTTATTTTATATGCCGGTTTATATATTTAATTTTTTATAATTCACATTAATTTTAAATTGTATATTAGAATAGTTATCAGTCCTAATAAATTTAAGCTTGATATTTTTAAATAACAATAATTTTATCAAAATTTAATTATACACCCCCCCCCCTACAGCAAATTCCTGCATACGCGCCTGTGTTAATGCTAAGTAAAATTACACAAAAATGGTTAATTAATTATTTTTATTATATATTTTTACCTTTTTAACTATTTAAAATATAAACATAATATTATTTAATTTATAAACTTATAAAAAAGGGGATAAAACAGATTTTCCCTCAATGCTCTGAAAATAAAAATAGGTATCCCTAATATTCTTTAAAAATTGAGCAATAAAAAATATTTATACCGTTT